GTGTGGGGAGCAAAATTCTTTTTCCGCACTTCTTAAGCCTTTGTGATCTTGGAGGAAATGGGTGTGAACCTTAAACCATATCAAAATCTGGACACCAGGTTCTGTATTAAGAAGAAATGAGTGAGAATAAGTATGATGCATGCACATGTGTGTGGGTTGTAAATTACTGTAGTAATTAGTGTGTGTAAGTGTATAATATATTTATTGTCTAGTCCTCCAGTTTGGCAGTATGTTGGATCTGTGAACTTGCAGTTTTGAAGCAGCTGAGCAGCTCCTAATCCCTTCATGATCCGCAAAGCAATTAATTCCCCTCCCAAACACACCCCGTTTTCTTCATGTCCTGTTTTGTTTTTTTACCAAAAAGCCATTACTTGATATATTCCAGCAAGAATTCTTCTTTTGGTTGAAAAAATTCTACTGGAAAAAGTTATTAGTTTCATGTTACCCTGTCAGACTAAGACACATAGCAGTTTGAGGGACCCTGTTCAACACATGCTTTAAATTTATTAAGATTGATTTAGCTCTATGAGATCACGAAGCCTTAATTCTACAGCTCTGGCTACGTATAAACTGTAACAGATGGGGAAATGTCATGGACACTACTGCCTTTAATAAAGCATTTACTAACTGCGAATGATGGCTATATTGTACAAAATAATGTCTGTTGACTGTAGGCTGAATAGGACGAATGTTTCTTGTGTTTGTGAGGGTAATTTGATCAGTATTGAACCAACAGGATCCAACACATATCATATGTTAAAAAAAACCCACATTATTTCTTACTCTTAACATTCATTTTCATTATTAGATGTAGTGGCTCAACAGAGGTTACAAAAGTATTTTCAAACTTAGGTGCTTAAACTGTGCATTCATTGGCTATGTCAATATTGGTATAAGGAGACAAGGCCTGTAGGGAATGCTGCAGGAGCACGGCTTAATCTTAGTCTCACAGGTTTTTTCTTTCACCTGTCTGTCGGCAAAGAAATTTGAAACAAAAACAAAAGGCCATGGAGGGAATAACAGAGTTGTCTAATTGTGATTCATATCCAAGCAAACTTTCCTGTAAAATATCAAAACCAGCCTCAGTGGAGCAGTTTACATAAAAACGTCTCTCCTCTCAAAGCTGCAATTTCCAGTCATATCTACATCATAAATGTGTCCGAACTCAAGCAACAAACAGCCTACCCTCTCTGGGAAACTGGATTTTTAATGTCTACAGGGTGCATAACTGACAGCCAGACCCCCCCGCAGCACAAGTGGAGTATTGACAATATTAAAGTATAGCTGTGTCAGACCTGCTACTTCCTCTCTTGTGACTCTCAGAGGTTCATTGCAATCTGTTAGTATCATGTTGATAGGTTTATGGCTCATAACAAACAAAGCATTATATTTATAAGAGGCTGCAAAAAGTTCATGTGATATGTATAAAATTGAAGGAAGTGCAAAGTTGACAATTCACACCACAGAGTGCTACCAAATAAGTGCTCATTTTTCATTCATGCCTGTTTTTTCTGACTCTGTGGTCCTGGGAACTATGAGGAATCCAATGAGGGGCTCCCTGGCAAAAAGAAAATGATTATTGTGTTTGTTATATGTACCCTGTGTAAGAATAGTGTGGTCAAATATTTTACTATCCTTTGTTGTCTACATGAATACCCGTTTTAAAGCACTCAGCGTTCAAATTACCAAAACAAAATCTTGCCCCATGTTATTTAGTTTGTAATCTACTTGCCAACTTCTACGTCTACTTGCCAATGACATCTAAAATGTTTGCAATAACTCTGCCATGAGTCTTTCATGTCCATAATAACAGAACACAGAGAGTATCTGGTATTGATAGTTTGTGGCATAAAATAAAATAAAAAATGCTATGCACTTCAACTGTTTGGATAAAAGTACCCTTTTATCAGAAGATAAAAAAAGTTTAGGATAGGACAGATTCTCCATTAGCTATAACACTGGAGTCTCTGTTGTTAGTTTCAGCAATATGTTTATTATTTTTAAAACATAGGAAGTATATTAAAATATGTTTTTTCTTCTTTCCTTCTTGGTTTCTTATAATATTCCAGTCAACAGCTACTTATAGAAAAAAAACCTTCATCTGTCCCACTTTAGACATGTTATATTCCAGAACATTAAAAAGATAAGGCCATCCCACCCTCTGACATGGTAGTTTTCATGTGTAGTGTTAAGATGGCCGTATCTGAAGTGTCCTTACTGTGTCAGCTATCCATTACCATCAACATTATTAAACCATTAAGTCATGGAATTATTTCATTTTGATCTCTGTTACCTACACTTGATAACAGCCCATATATATTATATATTACATCGACATATTACATACATATTATCTTATCTTATTGTTTTATTATTACAAGACTTATATTCAACAGACTATATGATGATATGACTACATATGTATCTTTGGGAAAAAAAGAAAAAAAGAAATATATATATATATATATATATACCAACACTCCCCCAGGGCTAACTTACTTTAGCAACTAATTATGCTTTCTGTTCATCAGGAAACTGTATAAATCACTGAGAGTTGAGTCGCAGCCGGACGACATCAGAGGGAAATCCAGAAAATATTTTCTTGTGTGTAACGCACTTGTCCCAAACCGGCGAGCAAAGTTACATTGTGCAAAAGTGTGCTGAGTAGGAATGAGACACCATTCAACCTATTACAAGTCAGTGTAGCATTAAAATGATAATGAGGCTGTTATTTTAAGATACATAAAAGTAACATAATGGGGCCCAAATAAAAGGATTGGCCTTATAGTCTCTTGGTTGTTCTTTGGTTTTATGATTATTATAATCAAAGTTCGGCTCATTGAGATTCTCAGATGATTCTAAACACATTTCTTAGAGAGATTTCTGGCAGATCTTCTTGACCTTCTTTCAGTTGCAGCCAAGATTCTGTCAAGTTGAGAAGAAAAGTAATTCATAGTGTTTATTATAGCCAATATTGTCATTTGTTTGTACTCTCAAGCTCAATCCCAACACCTTCCCCCAGTCTAAATGCCAGTTTCTTTGTTTTTTCATCAGCATTGTGTGCACCAAATTTATTTAACTCGATTTGTTTTTCATCTCTCTCTGTGTGTCAGTGCTTTTGCTCTGAATGCCAAAGTGTCCCTTTGTTAACCAGGATGTGCCTGTGCCCTAACACAACACTGCCATGCTTCATTTTTGCCATAAAGTCAAACTACAGGCACCTCTGCAGTCCAAGTGCCCCCAAAATGACCTTCTGGCCAGCCCAGATGCCCTGTTTTTGGCCCATGTGCCACTCTATAGTGACCTTTGGGAAAAAAGAAACTCTAAACATAACCCTAACCCTGCCTTATACTGTGCACAATAGATATGCCCTCTTTTCTTTTTCACCCTGTCCCCTAAAGGAGTCTATGCAAGCCACACAACTTTTCTTTTGCCAGCATTATGGCCCTATTTTTCAAATTTCCACAGTAGGCTACATTTGTGTTTTAGTCATACTGTAAAAAAAATTTTCGTAACGAGGTGGGATGACATCCATTGGACCGCACCACTGTAGTGTTGGTTTGAATTTTATGAATTTCTATTAGAAAAATGGTACAGTGGTCTTATTTCAGCAGGAACTTATTATTTGTTTGTTGTCTAACAATGAACTTGTGGTAACTTCTGACTTTAGGCAGCATGCTGAAGCTAGTTATCTCTCAATAGACACAGCTTACCTGATGGGTAGCTGGATGTACAGATACACGACGGTGGCTGAGCTAGAAGTCGTCTGATTATTTCCAAAAACATGGCATTCATTTTTGCTTGGTGTTCTTGTAATACATTAATATTTTTCATAATCTATTTGAAACAGAAACATGCATTTGACACATAAAAATATGCAGAACGGAAGAAGAGAAAGATAGAAGAAGAAGATAAGTGTATGAGGTGCTATGGGAGGCAAAGAGCTGCAGCTTTTAGTGTATTTGTTCAGCAACACAGGGGCTTGGAAAGAGGAATGTGAAAGGAAGAGAGGTCACACAGCCAGGTTTTTTGGTCAAGTGTCCTGAATAACTTTGATGAAGACCAGCACTTTTGCATGTTGCACAACATGTTTGAGTATGTGCCACAACTTTTATAACCAACCCTTAGACAAAAAACTAGACTATCCTTCTCAAACATTTCATGCCTGAAGGATTTGCAGACCGTAATTATCCTATGTGTGCTGGTGCCATAGATGAAGGTCACCTGCCTATCATTGCTCCTAAGGAAGATCATCAAGCTTTTCACAGTTGAAAAGGGGGATATTTGATTGTACTGCAAGCTGTTGTAAACCCCAACTTCCAAGTTCTAAGCAGAGTTTTTTCTTGCTTCGCATCACGCTTCCTTTAGAGTAATTTATAATCACACAGTCATTTTTCTGTGGTTTTAAAATCACAAAATAGTTTTATTTAATGTGGACCTGTTGGAAAACACACAGTTGTTACCAGCTGTTATTTTATGTAGAGAGGTTTCCAGCAGAAAGTGTGCTTTGACCTGGCTGACTGGCTTCTTTAATTTAATACAGTCAGTCTTTAAATCCAAAATGCATTTACAAGATTGTGAAAGCATCATCTGATCTGACACATACAAAAAAACATTTGCCTATTTAAATTTGGTTACTCTGATGTTTATCATAAACAATCTGCCTGTCACATGTAGAATAACCTTTCTTTCACAAGTTGTGCAATGCTCTGGTATATTGCCAAATAACAACTGAAGTTTATAACATTATAAAATCAGAAAAATCTAAACTTTATTTTTATCTTCTTCACTGTGAGGATCGTAGCCCACATATATCAGTGTGAAGTGGTGCCTCACAGAGAACGTAGTGACTGTTGGCACTTGCTTTGGTGTGTGAATTTTTGAACTGTAAATTCCACCAAAAAAATGAAGAACTGATACCTGTACAGATTTGTTCAAGAATCTTTTATTTTTTTTCAATTATGCCAAAAACAAACCAAGCGAAACTCACCTGGGGTAGCATGCGCTCACTGTCTAATAAAGTTAATATATATATAACATAACTTATACATATCTATTCAATTGATATAATAGAGAAAAGTACAGGTTAATTACAAGTTAAAATGTTATGTTTTAAAATATTAAAAATGTTAGAATGTCGATCATCAACATCTTCAATGCAACTGTCAGCAATGGTAAAAAAGAAAATCCTCATCCTCGACAAGAGGATGAGGGGCGGAAGATTAGGTCCCTCTCTGGAGTAGTGTAACTGGTGTTGTGATACAATGGGGATCCTTGGTGCTGGTGAAGTGGTGAATACACTGGTTGTAGTGGTATAGGCAGGGGAATGCAGTTCATCAGCAGGTTGTTCTGGCTGTCCTGCATCTCTCTGTATGTAGTCATCAACCTGTCCATTGCCTCTCGCTCATGTTCCATTGCGTCCTTCCACAACCGCTTTTCATACTGCCTCTATTCTTGGATTTGAAGTACAACACAAGGCTTACTCTCTTACATCAATAGAATACAATGTTTTCAAATGAATACTGCAAAAAGTAAGTACTTTAGAATTAACTAACCTGGACAACTTTCATTCACAGCTTGAGAGGATTTCAGGGGGTTTCCAACTGTTAATCTGCCAATCTACAGTATAGACAGTAGGGGAATCTTATCAGACAGGGATCCCTGAGACTACATCTTGTCAATTATGTAATTGTCCGCAGCCTGATGTTTATCAATCTGGGGATCCATGACACCAGAAAGGTTAAAAACCACTGTTCTACAGCATCTCTAACTGTTCCAAATGGCTGCCCACCAGGTGCACCCTGCAGACTGAGAGACGCTCCTTCATTTATGAATATGTATACTTTCTAGACATTCTTGAAAAATGAAGCTTCATTGCAAACAAAAGAACTTGCAGTGCTTATTAATCAAATTGTAAAGGTAAAGGTATTGGCAAGAACAAAAGTATTGAACAAGGTGGGGGGTACAGATTTCCCTGATTATTGATCCCTGTTCCCCTTCATGCCCTCATGCAGAAAATGTTTCTGAACATTTCAGGGATACACTGCATGTGCAAAAGGGCTTCTGCTATTCTTTATACTAGTCTAGTTTACTAGTCTAGACTAAAGCTTCCCTATTTTATAATCCACAGGCCTTTGACATCCTTTGTTAATGAAGTCCTTACCTTCTTTGCAATGTTAAGATAACTCAATTGAAAACGTGTTTTCCAGCACATTCTCATAAGCAGAACTAAAACAGTTTTAGTGTTGTTTGGTTTTGACATTTTAGAGCAATTAGCAGTATTTGTGGGAAATGAGACCAATACACTGTCTGAGGGTAGACATGAATCAAAGGGACACTGATACAAGACCTAATTGTGACAATGCTGCAGGCATGGGATGTACATGGAAGTCTTTAGTTAGCCAGAGGTCTGAATCTTTCCCCCCCTTTGTCCTTTGAGAACATTGCAGGAGACTTTTCAAAAACATGGCACACACAGTACATCTGCTCCCTCTTAGCAGGAAATAAATTTGTTCTTAACGTTGCAATACTAAGCAGCCAACTTTCTGTAACCTCCCTGTGTGATAATTTTGTTTATGGAGTGTCACAAAATAGAGGTGATGTCTCAAGTTTTACTTTTATTTTTATTTATTTTTTTGTTCTTTTGTTAAAAAAGTGCAACTCCATGAAAAACTACAAAACAACTTTAACAACCAATAGCAACAGAAAGGAATGTGAATTAAATCCTACATGCAAGTAGCACCTAATATGAACACCTCTATTTAGTTGTACACTGTATAGACCATAGAGTAAGTGATTACAGATTGCGACAGCCCTCTGGCTCTGCCATGGTCTGTAGGGTTGTGTCCTGCCCTTGGCTGCTGCTTGTGTTTTGTGTCTCTCTTCAGGTCCTGGTAGACCCCCCCCGAGTATTACTAGAACAATACAAGAAACAAAGAACAGTGGTCTGGTGTCCGATTATCTGGTATAATTAAGAATATGAAGAACATAGTCTGCGCAGTGTCTCTCATTGGCTCTGGCCATCACCATCTTGGCAGTCCTTTGCTAATCAAAAATAGGAAAATACTTGGGCTGTGGGTGGAATGAGGCGGGTTGAATGAAGCCAGGTTACTGAAAACAGCCGCCTGCGACAGCACCCACCTGTCATTCAAAGCTCTTCATAACTTTAAGCATTAATATATTTTAAGCAGGTAAGTTATATAAAAATTCACCCCACTTACAGTTGTCATGAAAGTGGTATTTAGCTATAGAAACCGTTTTTTGTACTAGGTTATAATCATATTTCTTTCTGCTGTAAAGTTGGGCATTTTAATATGAGCATTGTGGAGATTGACTCACTTCTGTAGTCAGCCTCAAGTGGTCGTTTAAGGAACCGCAGTTTTTGTTACTTCGATGTTGGCTTCATTTGCCAGCCACAGCTGCTTTCTCCTAACAGGTTGTTGACTTACACACACAAGATTTAACAAGCCTCAGTTCCCTAACCAAACCCATGTCCTCATACCGTCTTCCTTACATCTCGAGATGTTGCTGATTTGTATGTGCATGCCCCCACATGCACCTTTAACACAACATTGTGCAACATTTTGATGGTACACTGACTTGTAATACAGACAATGGTGCCTCTTTCATTCCCACTCATTGTCCCCCCAACACCTGTCCCTTGAGAAGTGTGTAACACACTACATCACACAAAACCAATTATGGATCTACTATGGGATAATTTTTCCAACCTACTCTGAAAACAGAGATATGGGGCACTGAATTTGATGAATTTACTGCTCATCAGACCACCGGGCCTCACTGATTGCTGCTTTTAATTGAAGTTTTCTGGTATGTTAGTTTTATCAGTTACACAGAGGTGGGAGTACATTAATGAAGTAGTTAGAGAAACAAAGACTGTACTTTTTTTACTTATTTTACTTTTATATTACCTTTATTATATTACTTTGATATTTCAGAGCCTGTATTTATCACTTGAGTAAAGACGTTTAATCAGTTCTTCTACGTTTACCTTTCTTTTTTTAAGTGTAATTCTACTTGAGTAAAGAATGTGTGTACTTTTGCCACCTCTGCAGTTTTTGGGCCTTTTTATTTCCTATGGAACATTTGGCACTGGCATAGGCTCATGCTCGGCCGTTAGCTGTGCGGATAACTCAGCTAACTAGGAAACAGCAGGTACAGTTAGCAGCAGTTAACTTTAGCAACAAGCAAAGCTATATGTACACCAAGAAACTCCGTAAATCACCAGGAGTTAAGGCAGAGCAGCTGGAGGACTTCAGAGGGAAAACCAGAAAATATTTTCTCCATAAAATATGACCAACTTCAGAGTCGCAGTCGGAGACGCTGTAAATAATCTCAGTACGACAGTGGTATAAAAATTAAAGGCACTCCTGTAGGGAAAACTGTAGAGGCAGCAAGTTGCAAAACATACCAATTCTTACATAATGCTGCTTTAAGTCACGATCACAAAAGCAACTGAAGCAAGGTTTTTTCTGACAGTGTTATCAAAACGGACAGTGACTACGGTAACTGTGTACCCTGAGTCTGTTGCTCAGAGTGGGCGGTACCGACTTAGACAAACATTATTTAACATGAGCACAAGCATCATTTTCCTACTTCCTTCTCCCAATATTCCCGTGCCTTCCCCTACTCTTTACCACCAAACACATCGAAGGAAGTGTTTTGGACAGAGACACAGTAAAAACTTTGTTTTGGAGGTATAGATGCTTCCTCTACCTGAGCACAGAATAGACAAAACATTCTAACATTGCAGTTTTGTGGGAAGGGAATGGACGGCTAAAAAGGAAATAGATAACTTAAAGATAACTTTATGTGCATGTTGAGACTCTTACAGACCATGTACTATTTTCCATATTTATGAGATAGTGGCCAACGCTTTTTCCCTTCTGTACAGCTACTATATTTAGATAAGACCACAAAAAAATCGTTATATTGTATTATATCAAAACATCTTTTGTTTGCTTGTGTTGTACTAACTCAGAGTTCTACATTGCTTTGATAACAACCATTAATCTTAGTTCTTTGGGCTGCAGGAAGCTACTCCTCCTTCATCAGTGTTTGGGCTATGCCACTGAGAGCAACTTATGAATTATTAGGGACCTTGCAAGCGACCGCTGGAGGTCCCTATTGTTTTTGCTTCGTTTCTTCTTCCCTATTTTTGGGGACCGTGCCAGCGACCGCTGGAGGTCCCTATTGTTTTTGCTCGATTTCTTACCTATTATTTTTATTTTTAGGCCACTTCGACTGCGTTTTTGCCCCCCTGAACATATACGAAAACTCAATTTTATTTGGCAAAGTGATCAGGCCTGGTGAAAAATTTGATATTCTATGCGTCACTTTCAGGTTGGCCACTAGGTGGCGCTATTATCATAAAAAGTGCGTTTAGGCTAATAACTTCTGCATAGTTTGTCGCACACGTTCGGGGAATAGAGCTGAATCTCCCCATATCGGCCCCGCCCACTTCCGCCTTTAATTATTTTTCGTTAGAGTGCGAAATGTCCTTAAACTACTTTTTTGTGGTCCTCCTACACACTTTCTCCGATTCGTACGAAATTTTTCACCTAGCACCTGGGGACCGTCCTGGCAAAAAAAAGTAATTCCAACATTTTTGAAATTTTAAAAAATAAGCACGCTATAGAATTAACACTTCCTGTAAATTTTTCGTCAAAAGAGGAAGTTGACCATTTCTCAACATTGGTATGTCCGATTGACACCAACCTTGGGTCAATAGTTCCTTATGTCTTCCTTAGGCACCATGCACAATTTCAGGCCATCCCCAATAGGTGGTGCTCTTTAAAATGAAGAAGTTTATATCTATGTATGTCAAATACAAAAATGTTATAATGAGTTCGGCTAGACCTGCTCTATTTGAAAAGTGACCTGAGATAACTTCTGTTATGAATTGGCGCTATACAAATAAAATTGAACTGAATTGAATTGAATTGAAAAAGTTACAAAATGCTCTCATTGACAACAAACTGTATTTTCATGTGTTGATCAGACAAAAATCATTTACTGTTATCCCAAAATACATTTATGTGAATGGAAAAATCAATGTGTGATAATTGATGGGTCTTTTACAGGAGTTAATGCTTCGAGGAAGTTAAATTAGAGATTTGGTTTCAGTTTGTAAGCCATTAGAGCCTATAAGAGTGGTCTGTCATGTTATGAGAAATGATTGTGAAGATATTAAATGACAGAAAGCATCTATTCAGGCTTAAGTTTATGGTTCATACCTGTAATGCTGTTCAAACATTTTTATGACAATCATGTGTTTCACAAATGTTCTGCTTATGGGTCCAGAACTGTGTTAGTGAAGAGAGCTCGGCACACAGTATATAAAACAGGAGCTTATTATTTCAAACTCTCCTCTGGAGAACCATGTGTTTAATACATATATGAATGTAGCAGCTTGCAGTGATTCCGTGGCTCAAGCACCTATAGCATTCCTGACCGAACACACACAATGAGCATATGATAATGAGTATTTACTGAACAGACAGCGGTTTAGTTCTAAATATAAGAGGAGTCTAGATTGCAGTTTTTGCCATATGAAATTACATGAATCCATCCTATGTTATTTTAACATTTTGGGGATTTTGATAATCTGTAGACCTGTTTGACCTGTTTCTTAAGCAATGTGTATCAAATTTCATGACATTTGTTTAAATGGGCTGGCAGTGACATTTATGGCCTTCGGGTTAAAAGATGCCACAGAAGAATGTTTCATTGTCATTTATGAGTGTTAGGGTTGGTTTGGACCACACCCACAGTCAAAGTCATTTTTTTGAGGGTGACTGACTGTACCAACATAAAAGGCCATGTCAAATTATACTAATTATTAAATGCATGAATAATAGAGACAGTCCAAATTACAGTAGAGAATAAATCGTAAGTAAGTAAGTTTCTTTAAAATCAGACCTAACATATAGGTTACATGTTACATCTTTTAAATTTATTTTAGAGCGACTCTCTCTCTCATCCAGTTTAACTCCTCATGGAGAGGAGTCTGAGAACAGTTGTGTAATATCTTGGTTGCCTCTGGAGTTTGAAAGCTATTGTTTATAACAGACAAGGAGGGTCTATGTTCATGAAAGATGTTATTAAGGTGCATCACGGGAAATGCAGGATCCATTGTTTTTGGGGCTTTACCCATAGAGAGGACTAAACGTTGATATCTCTGCTGCTTCGATTTAGTTCCCCCAACTTTGTAGAGGTGCAAAACTAAATAGCTTGTGTAGCTCTTTAACGTTTTATTTTTAAAAGGAGGAATAGTTTTTTGGTCCAACTAACCTAAAATGCACAACACTATGGCACATACACTACATAGGTTACAGGAAATGGTCTAGCATAATATTACTGGATAAATGTGGGTTTCCCCTCAAAAGTCACTCAAACTGGGTACCAGTGGGGGATGAGTTCTATAGGCTAATGGGCAGTTAAAGGAATACTTGATGTATATAGTGGATTTGTAAAAAAAAAAAATTCAATAAAACATAGAATTACTAACTAATGTCAACATCATGCGCCATCAAAAAGCAGTCACCATGGCGTGCGCGCGCAATAGCCAATGGAAAACTAGGCCAACTGTGGAAGCCTGTGAGCGCGTGCAAGTGTTAAAAAAATGTCATGTGTGGTATCAGGAGGAAGAAAAAGACAAAGGGTTGTTATGTGGGCTTGGTCTAAGTTTAGGGAAAAATATAAGCGCATAACTTGATTGCACCCTATACGCTCAGATGAATGTGAATGAAATGAAAGTAAGTGTTAGGCTTAAGCCTTTTGATTTTGAGTTATCTTCAGCAGGGCCAGGTACGGTAGATGAACAGATATTGGTGGGAGAAGATAAGCTGTTTGGTGTCGTTCATCGGAACAGATCATAAAGACATGTAAAAACTGGACTGGATGTATCTTTGTCCTGATCCGTCAGCCTGTCTCTGCGCTAAACACCTCCCTCTGTGTGTGTGTGTGTGTGTGTGTGTGTGTGTGTAACGTCTGAGTTAATAGGCTCCACCGCTGGCTCCTATAAACATGTTGTTGACGCCACAGACAGTCAGAGATACCTGGTCTGCCTGCACCGTCCCCTCTGGCGCGCTCCAGGAGAACAGCATGTTTGCAGATAGGCGACGACTGCTGCTGTTGCGAGCCGTGCTGAGCATCTGTGCCTTTAAAGACTTGTAAGTGCGCCTCTATCAGAGCACACAGTCAACTTCCCACAACTCCGACGCGCTCGGCGAGTAGAGTAGAGCTACCTTAACCCTAAAGGCACTGGCTCACCTCCACAGCTAGACCCATGGAATAATAACTATGGAATACCACTGGATACTGCTGTCTGTCTTTTTACAGTTAACCTTCCATCCAGGTAAGACATTTGCATTTGATGCGCCACTATACGCAGACAACTTGTTGCGGTTCACTTTTGATCAGCGAAAGAGTGGACTGTCTTTTAATGACTTCAGGTATTCAGCTCCTTTCAGTCCAGTAAGATAAAGATAATCCACGTTGTGGTGAATGGAATTACTCCACTTGCTCCGCATCGTATTTGCGATGCATTTCTCCACACTTTTCTTTGTCCTGGGAAGGCTGCAACGAGAGCTGAAGGCTGCTGATAAGACAACCTGAAGTCACTGATACCTGATGAGGAAAGTGGATACTTTGGCTGATGATCTGGATGCGCTATTTGAATAATGAATGTTTTATTCAAAGAACAGGGCGCAAACAAAAAAAAAGAAGTAATCATGTAGTGGAGGTGAAGTAGGATGCTGAATAATAAACACGAATGCGATGCAAAGTGACTTCTGGGTCGTCTTATGCTCGATGAAGGCGACAGGTTCATGTGGTTTTCCTTTGAACCGCATATAACCGTCAATATGTAAATCTGTTGGCAACTCCTGATTCCTGGGAAGCATGCAAACGAGCACCTGGTGTTTCCAGAGTTGGTAAAAACATGCTTAAGTAATTTCTCACCTGTTGGATAAATATTGTCACATGTGTGACTTTTAACACGGACCACTATATAACTTTAGATCCCCCGCAGTCTGGGTTGGTTTGTTGTGCTTCGCTCTTGGGATGAATTCAGAAAACACATTGAAACTATTATAGTTGGGCATCATCTTCAGAGTCTAGCTGCAGAGGTAAAGGTCCATAAACACCTAATTGTACTTGTACTGCCTTTTTACACAAATATGTCTCTCGGACTGTTATTTTTATTGGAGGGTTAAGTCTGTTTATAGTTTTTATAGTTATTATAGTCTATAATTCAAGTTAACTTTTTTATCTTTTCAGGAAACAGAGTTTGGGATTTCCCAAGAGATAGCTCGCAAATGTATGGAAAGCTGTGTTGGCAAGCAGCACACACAGACAGACACACAAGCCATCTACGCCGAAACAAATGTTGCTGTTTAACTTTGCGCCCCTTTGCGCATCTCGGCACGTCTGCGAACCGCATACAGCTCAGGGCGGCGTCAGGTGGACTCTATTTTCTGTCCCTATATCCATGTGATAGACAGCTTGATAGTTTATGATGCGCCCATGCGAGGCCGTTGATGTTCACGCCATGTTGATATCATAAGGGAATTTGAATGACGGCCACAGACAGTGCGCACAGGCGTGTCTGTCGTGTGAGCACGACATGAAGTTTACAGTAAGCGCGTTTACGCAGGGCACGAACCTGAATTACTTTTACTGTTTTCTTGTGCTATGCCTCAATAAATAAACAAAGTATATAATTGAATTAATGAAATATTACCTCGCATGGAGAACGTGTAGATCACCATTATCTCCTCCCTGCCATGCTGATACCAAATCTTTACGTTAAATTCCACAGTTGTTAGCTAAATATTTACGCATAGATAGCAGAGGCTGTGTAAACACGGAGGCCATTCGCATTATTAACAGTCTAATAGACCCATCTCTGTTCTGTGATTCAACGAATTTACGTTTAACAGATGAGTCTGTCATGCCACCACACCCAAGTTGTTTGTGGTCTAAACAGTCACTGAAGTGCAGACTGTGGGAATGGGAGAATCTTTCATTTTACATGTGAAATGTTTTTATTTTTTGTATCAAAGGAGGGATGGGAGGATGGAGGGAACATGTTTGTCAGCCTGTTTCACACTCCTACTGTAGTCTCAGCAGTGGACACTGCTGCAGCCACAGTCCTGTAATGTTTATCACAAGTGGCTCCAATAGAACAAGCAGAGGTTGAGTGTCCCCACCTTGGTGATGTTTTTGCAGGGAACGAAACACATTACTCATTGACGTTCCCCACCTGTTTTCAGTTGGTGCAAGCAGATTAAATCTTTGGGTTACAGTCATGTCCAACTCATGCTACACACATTTTTGATTTCTTTTATACCATTAATGGAAAATGTGAATATGACAAAGGAATTTCTTTTTTGTTTACTTGTATATGATTTGATTTCATTGGCAATTGCAGATTTCTGCTCAGATGTCAAGAGGTTGAGGGTTCAATCCCTGCTGTTACACCAAGCCTCTTAACCTGCATTATGATGATTGAATTTAAAGGCTCAGTCTGTCATTTCTTAAACAATAGGTGCAGATATAATCACATATATCGTTAAAGCTGGAGCTGCAGATGATGAATAAGAATGTTACTTTGGCTTTTACAAACATTACTGATGTGGACAAACCTTTAAAACTGTGGTTCCCAACTTGGGAGCTGCCCCCCCCCAAGAGGTCCAAAGGTAATTCTGAGGGGTAACAATATTAGTTAAGTTTTATATTTTGCATATTTTCTTCTCTTCTCGTAATTTCTCTAAACATCCTTCAAATGCAACAATCTGAGAATGAAATTTTACTTTTTGGTTGGGCTCCTCACAACTTGTGTTGACAGGCTATAACCTGTGCTGATGGATCACAAATAGAGTTTGCTTTGTTTTATGCGGTCACAAGCCTTAAAGGTTGGGGATCACTACTTAAACACAATTATTTTAAGCTATATTATGGGGTTGTCAAGTGTTAATCTGTGTAATAAAATATCTCTTAATCAATTTTGAAATGACAGTCAGTAAATCTTGTGTTTTGAAGCTCTGCTGTTACATCCTGTTGTTTACTTTTGGATCAGGGATTGTACCTTTAAGCTGTGCTAATGCATAGGAACCTTGTAAGGTTGTAGGCGTTGACACATCTTGGCTTCACAGTGATGGGAAAATGTCAGGAAGATTTCACTCCTGCAGTGTAATTTGTGGTTTTTCAAAATAATAAAAAAAAACCTCTGAATTATCTCTGTAAAACTCTGAGACCACAATGTGGCCACGATCATGCATAATCTTTTCCTCCAAAGTGTGGTAAAATGGGACTAACTTGTAGTATTTAAATGACACAAACTGACTTATCAAGATTTTGGCATGTATTGAGATGCAGTTTCTCTCTCTCTTATATCCCATTATAGGCAACACCAAGCCAGCTATCACCCCCACTGGCCCCCACATTGTTGTCTCACTCAACACGCCGTTCGAACTGCGTTGCCAGGGTGAGAAGGCGATGCAGTGGCAGCGGGAGGACCGGCTGAAGGTGCGGGGGGAGAAAAAGGTCGATGGGATGTCCACATTGCACATCCCCAGGGCTCAGCCTGTTCACATGGGCCGCTACATCTGCCTGGAAGAGAGCTCCAAGGAGAAAGCATCCATTTACATCTATGTGAAAGGTAGATGGATGAAACTATCAGTGTTTAGGTGATGAACATGTGTTTGAGATTGTTTGGAGAGAACTGAAATCTAGAGCGAGTGGAAATAGACTGCAGGGTAGAGCCGAGAAAATGTTTTGGCGTTTCTCGCTGTAGTGACAGGGAGCAGTGTGTGTGGGTGTGTTTGCAGAAAAGGGGGGTGTAACTTTGCCCCGAACAGGTACAGTACTGTGGCTATTTATTGACTGTGTGACTGAGTTTTACTGTATTTCCTCCTCTATGTGACTCCACATCCCCTTGGCCAACTGCCATCTCTGCAGGCTTATACCATGTGCTGATCACAATCCACAATCCACACATCTACCTTCAAGGCAACAAGCACTAACCACTTCTAAGATGAGAGGCTCAGCTGTACATAACGTTTAGTCTGCTGATGAACTTAATGCACATAAACTTTAAATTTGATCAGTATGATTGGACAGTTCAAGCTTTTACAGCTCACTGCCTCTGCAAGGTAGATATCTCTGTTTAGACAATTGAGACTGATAACACCCCTACAGACAAGTTATCAGTGTCAGTCTTTGTGCCAAAAATCAGATGTGGTTAAAAAACGTTCATGTTTCATGTTACCATGGTAACAGCAAGTGCAGTTTCATACGCAAGCATGTCAGAAATACAACAGAAGAGTAACTGGTGTATCCGTTTACAATGCAGCTAAACAAACTTGTGTCTTTGTAAACAAATCCATGTGGTTGTCATCCATAGATGCATTTTGATGAGTTATTTTGTGATTGCTTATCAATAAAAGCCACCCCGTGTTTTATGTGAAGCAGCAGGACTTTCTTACATTTAACTTCATACAGCTCTAATATCGTGTAAAGAGAGAGAACAGTAAACAATGAGGCTTTTATCAGTTAAGTGTGTTTCCATCCACCTGTTTTATGCAAATATAAAATTTGCACCTAACAACACCTTTGTAGAAAGGCTGACAATTTGAAAAAAAAATATTGCAAAAAAGTAATGCTTGCATGAGGTGGAAAAGTGGGAGTAGAAAAACACCTCCATAGTGCTACTAGAGGACAAAAGCTCCACAGGGAACCAGGGAAAGGTCCACTGAAGTTTCTGCTTCACTAGACAAAAAATGGCAACAGACAATAACATCTGAATACATGAAACAATCATAAATGTCATGTTTCCATCACATTTTTGACATTATTTGAGGTTTCACTTAAACCAACTTATAGTATTCCCCATGCATTTTAAAGAAATCTGAATCCAGCACAGGAATGGCAGACCCTGCCACGAAAGATGAAAACTATTCTATAGAAAGTAATCAATTGAATGGCTATTGCAGAAAAAAATCAAAAATAAGGTTTGATTTCATGAAAATCAAAAGGGTAATAATTTAAGTCTAAAGAAAAGAGTGTCAGTACAAAAGACAGTGTTTATTTAACAGGTGATGGAGCAGACCAGTCAGCCAAACACATGGCCCATAACACTGTCAGTTATGAAGAAGCAAGCAATTCATAGTCTAAATAACAAAACAGTGGTAAGAAAATGGTGTATGTTAAACAGTGTAGCATAGTCATTGCTGCCACAAACTAAAGCTTAAACAACTCTGCATGCAACCCCGCTCCCAGCTCTGACAACACCTTTGATGTGCGATTACATTTTTCTTGGCAGATCCTGACAATCCTTTCAGAAAATCAATGGTTCTTAACATTCTTGCTCGTGAGGGAGACAATGCTTCCATCCCCTGCCTGGCAACTGATCCAAGTCTGGACAACCTGCGCCTAGAAACGTGTTCCAGTAGAGCTCTGGCCTCTGATCTCCAATTTTCTGGAAGCCTGGAGCAAGGCATCATCATCCACAACACACAAAAGGCCTACGAAGGTTGTTATGTGTGCACAGGAAGACTCAGGGAAGAGAACGTCAGATCACATGACTACTACCTGACAGTAAGACCAGGTAAAGTGATGTAAATGCACGTGTGTATGTCCATTGTGGCTTCAAAAGCTTCCTGATGCACACAGATGTAAAGTTCAGTCACGTTTGTTTTGATTTCCTTTCAGTCCCTGTTGCTCCTCCGGTGATTGAGATGCAGGTACCGAAAAGATTGATTCTTATCAAGAATGAAAGTCTCTCCCTTACCTGCAACACCACTAACGTCAATGGAGACATCCAGCTAAAGTGGATCACCCCGCCTGGCTCGGTGAGACCCTTTTCTTTGCTGTGTGCTGCACTGTTGGTGGAAGTTTCTTCCAAAAATACTGCACATTGAGAATTGATTGTTGTCTTGTAAAGATTTAAAAAGGGCTTTAATTAGTTCAAACAGATATTTGCCTTAAAAGATAGGAAGAGTCAACCACTAAATATCAGCTATCCTTGGGCTTCATTCCCAACACCAGTATTTTTTTCTGAATCCATTGTTAAGAAATGTTTATAGATCAACTTGTATGTGCATTTAGGAAATGTAATAACTTCTAATGGAAACTACTTGCCAGCTGCATTGATTATTGTTGAAAAATTGTTCCAAAATAAGCTGTCACAACTGTTGGTCTTTAAGTGTCCAGAACAAGAAAACACACCTGGGTGACAATCATGAGAAATGTGGCATTCTAATCCACAAAGAATTGTAAATTGCATATTTTATTTTATTATTTTAAATTTATAGTAAACAGTTTCCAAAATTGGTTTTCTTTTCACTGGAGTTTCTTCCTGTGTATCTGATATTAGTGGTTGCCTGTTCTTATGAATGAGAGTGAAAGCGGGTCAAAGTTCATGCGTTCTAAGCCTCAGGATCTTGGCTGTGTGGACCACCGTATGCATACGTATGTGAGCGAATGTGTGTGCACTCGCATGCAGGCAGTTGTGTGTCTGTGAGAGTAATTGTGTGCTTGGCAAGGATAGACATGCAGACGGGGTTAATCTCTAGAGATCTCTGGGCGTTGACAGGGTGCCGTCTGGTATCCACAGCAACAAGCAAAGGTTGACAGTGCATCGCGTATCCTGACGGAGCACTTCACCCACGCGCGAAGCGCCACGTTGCACATCGCGCCGGTCAAACCTCAAGATGCTGGGAGGTACCAATGTGAAGCTAAGAATGAAAAAGGGGTCACCTCGCAATCAGTGTTGCTCGATGTTTATGGTGAGTACTCAAAGGGATTTGCAGTTTGTAACTTACTAAGTCGTAAAAAAAAAAAAAAAAAGAAATATGTGGAAATTGAACTGGCCAATGAGGAGTGTGACCTGTCAATCAACTGTGTTGAATTTCTCTCCTCACAGAATCTTTGACAGCAGTCTCCCAATTTTCATAAAAACTGAATATCAAAGGAATAGTTGGACATTTTATAAAATATGCTTATTCACTTTCTTGCCAAGAGTTAGATGAGAAGATTGATACCACTCTCATTTCTGCATGGTAAATATGAAGCTTTCAGTCTGCTTAGCTCAGCATAACGATTAGAAGCAGGTGAACAGCTAGCTCTCACATGTTCATGCTCATATTACTCACCACTAGAATTAGAATTAGTATATTTCCCAAAATGGGAAACTTCTGCTTTAAATGCACTTATGTGGAGTGAGATTCAGAATGTGTTGTACTGTGTTGTATTGCCACATTGCTTTGGACTGTGAAGTCTTCATATGCATGTGTTGGGTTACTCTGTGACTTGCCTGTAAGTGTCTGGACCCATATCACATTTAGACTCCAGTAAATATAGACTTAATTTTACTTCTGCAAATCCTGTAATAATATTGCACTTCCTTTTTTTTTCAGAAAAAGGATTCATCAACTTAACACGTGCAAACAGCAAAACCATCCAGGTCCGTTCAGGCGAGAGTTTGCCCCTAAATGTTGACATGGTGGCTTATCCAAAGCCGCACACCTTCTCCTGGAGCTTCATGGGACAGGAGCTGAGGAACACAACCGACCACGTCATCACCACACACAACCATGAATACAGGTGAGATAACACACACTTGGTTTAAGTTCCCCAGTTTTACCACATAGATGGAAATGTTCATTAACCTCGTCCGGTGGAATTTAACACCTTTGGTCTGGCAACAGGTCAGAGGGGGTGCTGATGTAACAGCTGCACTTGTCACAGTGCCTTGAGAAATACAGCTGAAATTCTAAAAACACCCTGGGGTTTCTAGTGGAAAGGGAACTGTCAGAATATACATGGCTTTCACAGGAAACCATGAAACATCTGCAATAACTTACCTTTGTGCTTCAGATAGAAATATTACTTAATATTATCCAAGGCTGCAAGCATAAGTCATTTTATCTCACACATACGGTGTTCACGTGTTACATTTCTTTTAATATGGGAAGAAAAGGACTTCACCTTTAAACATGACTCCCTTTAGCAAATGATAACATAATGGTTAAACCCCTCTTCACTATGTTAAAAATCAATAAATCCATATCAACTGTGGGAAAATAGAGCTTTGATTTAGCCTTGAGAATAATTGGAAATGCTTTGCATATGCGTTCAATGAACAGATGTGCATTAAAGCGCCAAACAAGACAAAACAAGACTGGTTAGAATCTAAAATGCAAAAAAAATATTCAGGTATTTCAAGTTCTTTCTCTGGCAGCATTCACAATGTCTGCTGTTTTATGTTAATGCACAATTAGAGCATAAAAACATTGTTTAAGAAGACAACATTTTACTGATGTTTCTTAAAAGTTGATAGATGCATTCATGCTGAAGATCTCATTTCTTTATGTTTAGGTACAGCAGTGAGCTGAGGCTGGTGCGGTTGAAAATGTCAGAGAGTGGAGTTTACACCTTTCAGGCCTCCAATGGTGATGCATCAGTAAACCACACATTCACCATCTTTGTGATCAGTAAGTTGTATCAGATTTTTTAAAAGGTTTTTTGTTCCCTCAAGCCACATAATAGATTGCATTACTCCACACTGCATTACTCTTCAGTAGCTGACATATGGGAATAGTTTTCATTGACCTTTTCTCTGCTTGAAATGAGGTCTTGCTCTCTACCTCACCTCACTCATTCATACCACACAAAAGTTCAACACAACTGGAGAAAAAACTATCCTGCTTGTCATTTATCTCTTATCTGACCTATTATGACATTAACTTGTGTTTGTTAGGTAAACCTGAGATTGTATCTCATGAGGGCCCAGTGGATGGACAGGTCCGCTGTGTGGCGGAGGGGTTCCCTGCCCCTCGGATCACCTGGTACTACTGTGAGCAGCCCTATGCTAGGTGAGATGTTTAATGTCTCACTGGTTTGCAGTGGGTGCGGCCAAGCTGGGAAATGTGATGACATACGTCTTTGCACTAGCCAGAACTTAGTAATGACAGTTGTGGGGTTAGTTGCTTATGCTGCCAGGCCATTGTCATTCAAATCTGGCCAATCAAACCACACCTTCACAGTCCTCATGAATGTTTGAGTGTTAACTTAATAAAAAAATATGTAATTTAATGTTTGCTTATTGACTAATGAATATTTAATATCACAGAGAAATGCAAGGTTTAAAGCCAAGTTTAGAGAAAAGATATGACATTTATTCATATTAATTGCTAAAAGTTTTCCCTAATTCATACTTTAATTTAACAGAAAAAATAATGAGCACAGACAGTATATGCTGGCATTGTGTAATAAGTACACTGAACTTTAGAACTGCAGCCTAAAGTAATTACAGGGATTGGAAAATTATATTAGACAGAGTAGTCATCAGTCTTACAAACTGACTAAACAAGAGAAAAACTGCCAAAACAAAATCAGAAGCAGCTCTATCACGTGTTATCTAACAAACAAAATGTTCTAAACCAATCCAGTTATTATATCTTTGTTTGCTGACAAATACTGTGGCTTTTGCAGTGGCAATGTGGCATGCATGTCTGTGTGTAGATACAAGGTGTTTTTTTAGTCATACTACATTGATGAAGATGATTCATATAGGTTGTGGAAACTGCATTACTATGGGGAACCTCTCTCTTATTTTTTTCTATGTTTACACAAAGCACCACCTATTTATTGCAAGATATTCACGCACCGTATCAGATCTGTACTTTATTTGTAGTTTGAAACTTTTTCATCTCGGTGCATCTCGGGGGTCCTAAAGGTCACACTAAAGACACATTGGACAGAGTGAAGATGACGGTGGAATGAGGGATTGTGGGATTTGGAGGGGCTGACTTGTGATTGGTTGACAGTGATAAGATGACCCCCATGTGACAGGGGATTGGAAAGAATTAACTTGTGATTGGTAGGGGCCCTGGATTGGATACAACTGGACGCGCCTCATCTCGTGTCAAACATAAAGTGTGTCGAAGGAGGGCCACCTGGTTGGCATAGCAACACCAATCCCAAGCAGTACAGGCAATGCATCATAAGTGATTATCCAAACTTTAATTATAATTAAATCCACTTAATACTCATTACCTACAGGCACGCAAATGTATGTACAAACAGACAGCAATGTGACCTGAGTGATCCAATGACCAGAGGGCAGCTAGATAATAGTTGCTTTTTATGGTGCAGTGCAGTGGGAAATATTGAGCCCTGGGCTATTGTTATGCATTTCACCTTTATCTCATGAGCACATAAGGTGAAACTAACTGCTAGCAATGTACTGAAATATGAGGACATACGCTGTGTTTTTGTATATTGTGTTAAGTCTTGTTATTCACACAAGTTTTAAGACTCAGAAAATTAATGTGTGCCCTGCAGAAACTTAGGGGAGAGATACCTGAGTGTCCTGAAAAGGGACAATCGGTGAATAGCTCAGTGATGTGTCAGGTCTTTGTCAACAATGTATAATCTTCTGCCTTCAGGTGCTCCCAACAAGTGAATGCCACCCAGGAGGAGCACAATGTCATCACCGTCACACTGTTCAGCCCCATGTTTGGGAAGACGGAGGTGGAGAGTCGGGTAAACATCAGCAGGGGACGATTCAGTACTCTGGAATGTGTGGCTACGGTGGAGGGAGAGCAGGCCTACACACTCTTCTCTATCAGTGGTGAGTTGATATCTCATATATGTATGCTCACGTAAATAAAGTAGTTTGTCAGCCAAAGTCCACACACAGTTAAATAGGGGCCACGTGATATTGAAGGGGGCGCCTGTCAGTCTCATTTTTTGTTGCTGAATTGATGTTATCCTCTGAATGTCCTCACCTTGAGATTAGAATTAGAGTCAACAGTACTACAGATTACATGCAGCCATTAAAATCTCCCCTTTTCAGATTGCAAATCTTTGTCCACCAGATGTTAGTTTCATCTAAACTTAATAGAGCAATCTCAGTGATAGTACAAGTTCTTTGCCTCCCTGGTCTGTGGACTAAAACAACAAAGTTATCCTAGATGCTCTGCCCCAATGTAAACCCCACATGCGATTTAATCCTCACCTCTAAATATTTACTACAAGCATGTTTTGGATGAGGATTAACCCACAAATGTGGTCTTACAATTAGTTTGGTCGTCTGTAATCTGTTAGGTAAACATTAGCAAGGAGAGAAACCTCAGACATGATTGGCCGCGATAAGATGTTGTCACTTACAGATAGGAATTAGCTTTAGTCCATTGTTTACTTTATGACTCCAAATCCGCCGTGTTATAACGGCTTCCCCATCTGCTGTACAATGTCCTCAAAGGAGTGTGGGTGCAGGAACTGAAAGCACAGCAAAGTTGTCCCTGCCTGAGCCTGAAGACCCGGGTTTATGCAGGACACAGGGGGCTAATGTGGCTACAGCGGGTATGTGGGCGAGCATTATGAGGGAGGAGAGTGTTTGTGGCCAGGCAGGACAGGACTTTGGGAGCGTGTGCCCAGGATTTTTGTGCTTCACAGAATAACAGCAGACCAGGCGGAGGCGCTGAGAGTGTGGAGCGCAGTAGGAGTCCTGGCGGTGCTGGGCGTTCTGGGGCTGTGGGAGGCTTGGAGGTGTCAGTGAGCTGCAGCAGAGAATACACAGAGCTTTAGAAACCACTGACAGGTTTACAGGGGATTAGTTCCTGCAGACTCTGCATTCTCAGATTTGAAGTGGAGAGAAAGCTTCTTATCTTTAAAGAGCTTATTACACCCCACTGTACAGAGGAGCAAAACAATAAGGCATCACAAACAGCCAGACACAAAGGAACAGAAACCTGATTACATATAATTACTCACCGGCACAGCTGTAAAAGCAACAGCAGTGAAGTAAAATACTGCATAATCAAAAGGGACTTTAAGCAGTTAAACAAAATTACAGGCAGAATTTACAAACACATAAAAAGCCCCTACAGTATACATATATAATTGGATTAGCTTGCTGTGATTTGACCAAAGTGAGCTTCAGTGTGACTTAGCTCTCTCTGGCTTACCTTAATGCCCCTTTGCAATGTCATTTAGAGTGTAAACATGGCAAACCTTTCAACAAGTCACTGATTGACTCTGTTGTTACTGCTGTTGTGTCTAACATCATCTCTGTCTCCCTGCAGAGAGAACTGTTCCCCATGATCTGTTCACCCCTCTGCTGATTGGCTCTGTGTCAGCAGCAGGCATCCTCTGTCTAGTCCTTATCATGCTCTTCTACAAGTACATGCAGGTAACAAGACTTTTTCTGCATGGCACACCCTCTTCTGTCAGACTTCAAGTCAATAAAAGTAGAGCATGTTGAAACCCTATGATTTGATTTGTAATTTATGTTTCACTGTTTTTTGTTTGCATTCATGCCAGAAACCTAAATACCAGATCCAGTGGAAAGTTATTGAGGGGATCCATGGAAACAACTATGTTTATATTGACCCCACCCAGCTACCATATGATCACCAATGGGAGTTTCCTCGGAACAACTTGCGTTTTGGTGAGTGCCCTGCACTCCTTTTTCAAAATGATCTGCAGTGTGTGCTGTATCTAGGCCTCCATAATCTCATAATAATAATAATAATAATAATAATAACAATAATTATTATTATTATTATTATTATTATTATAATTATTACGTCATTTCTGACACACAACAGCACTGAAATGTACGTCCTGGTTTTCATGTCTCATTTGTAAAGAGTGATGGGGAGATACATGGGGGTTTGTGTCAGTAATAAAGCCTAACAGTGCAGTCTGCATGACATCACCACTGCCACCCTCAGGCTACTTCATGCTGATTGACAGACACTCTGTTTTCTGTGTATATGGACACAGCATTAAGGTTTTGTCTGTGGTCATTACAGACCAACCAGTTCCACAGGTCACCAATGATGAAACCTCACTCCCTCACTGCAAACATAATATTGTTGACATATTCTGGGTGTTGTTTTTAACAAACCTCCTCAAACAGGATCCTGCGTGTCCTGGTGCCTACGTACACAGCCCGGGGGCTAAAACTGGTGTTGTCCTAGGCACAGGGCCAGCTTGTGGGAGGGAAGCAGGATGGGGAATAACAGTTTTGCGTCTGTCTTCTTGTCTTCAGGGAAGACGCTGGGGTCTGGTGCATTTGGAAAAGTGGTGGAAGCCACTGCATATGGACTCTCCAAAGCAGATTCAGTCATGACTGTGGCTGTGAAAATGCTCAAAAGTAAGCACTGCCAACACACATGCAAATGGAGCTATTTTGACTATGCATTTTAGCATATAAGCTGTGCATATTAAAGAAGTTATAAATAATTTTCCTGCAGGTGTTCAGGCAGCTATTATGTAGATATTTATATTTAGTGCTTTGTGCACTGCTGCCAAGTCATCATATGTATGAGGCACCTTCTTACTTTAATTAGCCTCTAGCAAAATGATTTTTTTTAATCATGCAAATACCAGATCATGATATGTAATCATAGTTCAACCTGAGCTCAATTTACTCCTAATCCTTCTGCACATACTGATTATGTCCAATTTTTTTTTCTCACAGCGAGCGCTCACTCCACAGAGAAAGAGGCACTGATGTCGGAGCTGAAAGTCCTCAGTTACTTGGGAAACCACATGAATATTGTCAACCTGCTGGGAGCCTGCACTGTTGGAGGTGTGGCAGCCATGTTGGCTAAAATTATCATTTAAGACTGTGGCATGAAACTATAAACATCAGAGATTGTTAGAATTTGTTAACACTGTAGTGCTTTATTTCACCAAATTACTTTTTACAAAAGCTATGAGTCATGTTTTTGGTAAGATCATTATCATGTGGCGTGTTTCTTTGTCTTCAGGCCCCACACTGGTGATCACAGAGTACTGCTGCTTTGGAGACCTCCTTAACTTTCTACGCAGAAAAAGGGAATCCTTCATCTGCTTTAAGCTCGAGGAAGACTGTTACTACCGCAACGTCATGCCGCAAAGAGACGCAGCTGGGTCAGGTTCTTTTTTGTGTTTAAAAAGTAGTTTATTGTGTGTGGAAGAGAAAACAGAGTAGTATTTACTATCCAGAACGTGCGTAGGAGGAGGGTATTTGGACAGCATTGTGCCTATGTGTGGCTGTGCTCAGCTGAGACCAGACTGCTCCTTTCCTCTTCACAGTGACAGCTTGAACGGCTACATGACCATGAGGCCTTCTGCTGCTGGCAACTTGCCGTTCGGCTCATCATCTGAGAAGAGGCGCTCACTACGCAAAGGCAAGAAAGCCAGCCATTCATCAAAATTTTCAGCCTTAAAATACACAGAAGTGCAGTTGAAGTAAGGCTTATACCATTGCAGAAAAATAACCTTGTTTGTCCTCTCAGGTGGCTCCTACGTTGAGGCAGATGCAGAAAGTGAGATGTTTGATGAGGATGGTCTGTCTCTAGACACCGAAGACCTTCTCAGTTTCTCTTACCAAGTGGCCAAAGGCATGGAGTTCTTAGCCTCCAAAAATGTGAGCATCAAATAACAATAACATTAGATTTTTTGATAAAACCCTGATGTGAATTTTCCCACATGACAAATGCAGAGCATGGATCTTGTTTCTACAGCTAGTAAACAGATCTAAAACGTATGTTGGAGCATGCTGTTGAAACATTTATTAGTTGTGGGGGCAAGATACTGTGGCCTGTAAGCTCATGTATCAGTGTCAGTGGTTGTGTGTTACAGATTCAAGTGTGGAAATTCTGTGTTAGAAAAAGCACTTAATTCATGACTAATGTTATATTATTGATTGGTGTATGTATCATTAGATATTAAAGGTAGTGGGGCATTTGTTTGTCAGTGTATCCACAGAGACCTGGCTGCCAGAAATATCCTACTGACTCAAGGAAGAGTAGCAAAGATCTGTGATTTCGGCCTGGCCCGAGACATCACCACGGACTCCAACTACGTAGTCAAAGGCAACGTAAGTGTGCACCAAAGATGTGCCATTCTTGTCTTGAATCAGTCTCAGGTTTGGAAGTGTCTGAATCAATTAGTAAAACAGTAAACGGTAAAATAAACACAATATGCCGCACCAAGTACAAACACATGACAGCTAGGTTAGCATAGGCAGACACACACTTTAGATAAAGAAATAAAGAAAAAAAGAACAGATCAAACTATTTTTACAAAGAATCTGCACTTAAGTTGAATATATCTTTTGGACTCCTTACACTGTTGTGGCAGTTATTTTACAGCTTGGGAGGCTATAGTGACTTCCTGTTTAGACAGATATTTCTTAGCAGCAGATTAACACATTACTAAATGACTTGGAAAACTGGTGGAACCCAATCATGGGGTGTAGATGATTTCACACTATGTACAACCAAAAATCACCTTGTGGGCATCTAATGCTCATGCACTATTTTTCCTATGTATGAATAGGTCTTATGTTGTCTCTCCAGAGTTGTGTACAGTACAGCTTACCTTGAAACGAATGTGTTTTGTACATTTGCCAAAAGAACTCTTCTTACAACACAAGCTATGTGTTCTCTTTTAATTTTATTAGTTTTTTCTCCCTTCCTGTAGTGGCATTAGTTGTACAGGGCTATCTAATCTGTTTGTTTTTAATACACATTAAATCTACCATTTTTTTTTGTGACAGGCAAGTAGTATTTCTAAATGACAAGTTAGAAACCTTTTGACATGTGTGAAAGACAGTAATCCTGTAAAATGCCTGGGATGTGTGTTTTTGTCAGGTATGGGCGTTGCAGATGAGCTCAGTCCTCTGTGTTTATAGATCCTCAGGCAAAAATATTTGTGCATACCTGACATTTTGTACAGTCTGTTCATTTAGCAGTTTGTTTGACCCCAACCACAGTGAAAAAAAAAACTAGGGAAAAGTTTCAAATTTTGAATTAGTCCAACTTTCCATCTACTCACTGAGTGCTTTTCTTTCAGGCTCGTCTGCCAGTGAAATGGATGTCTCCAGAAAGTATCTTTGAGTGTGTGTACACGTTTGAGAGTGACGTGTGGTCCTATGGCATTTTGCTTTGGGAAATCTTCTCACTAGGTATGCCCATATCCATACATTGTGTTTGCCTGGCTATTTGTGTGTATTCAGAGGTGCATAATGTAACTGAATCTTTCTACTGAATGTAGGAAACAGTCCTTATCCTGGTATGCCTGTGGACGCCAAGTTCTACAAACTAATTAAAGAAGGATACAGAATGGATGCTCCAGAGTTTGCACCCAGTGAAATGTGAGTTGTTGTTGAAATTAAATATGAGTGTGTAAAAGGTGTTGAAGTGAAATATGAGTGTGCATAAAATCACAGGAGAGATTGTGTGACTGGATAGTTGGAGGTGGTGAGACTATAAAGAATGCAATGTGGGGAATTTGAATAGCTGCCCGCTCTCATCCTGTTGCATTTGGCTTTTCACAAGCTACTAAAACTGACATGGTAAAACATTTAGGTGCAACTGAGGAAATAATATACACACAAAAATGTCAAGGGGATGTAATAACTGTAGACAAATAAAAGTGTTTGTGTGTGCATATGTTGCTGTGCAGGTATCAGATTATGAGGTCCTGCTGGGATCCAGACCCCTTCAACAGACCCCCCTTCAGGAAGGTCGTGGAAAGAATTGAACAACAGCTGTCTGATGCCACTAAGCATGTAGGTTTCGCTGCTTATTTTGTTTTCAAAATTCAATTCCTTGTAAAAAAAAAAGAGGGGTTCACAGACTGCTCAGTTGGGATATGAGGTAGTGAAATAGAAGCAACTCAAGGGTCCTGAAGGGGTAAAAGCTAATATGGTATGGTTCACAATTTTTGAACCTCCACATACAAAGTCATAAAATGAATGCTAATGCTAACTGCTAAACCAAGACTAATGAACACCAGGCTCATTTCTGTCTGTTTTATTGTCTTTTTATTACTTTCTCATGTAAAATTCCCCAGCTAACACACTAGATGTGTAAGTGTAAGACTGCTGCATCACTTCTCATGAGAAAACTATTTTAAAAGTCACCTCCAGAGTGTTCACACATAATTCAGCCAAAGGTCCGGGGCCTCTCACAGCATGAGCAGCTCGTCTGATATACTCGTGCTACATACAAGGGCCTCTATTGTTCCAGGAATGTCCTCTGACAGTGGGCTTCAAAGGGATAGGAGAGATTTTGAGAAATATAGGGTCACTTACTCACTGTCTTACTGAATGTTTGATGATAAGATTTTATTTCCTCTTTCATGTTTGTCCGTAAACTTGAAGCTTCAGCCAAGAGACTGTTAGCTTAGCATAAAGCATAAAACAAAAAATCTAAGTGAACAGATGAAACATTGTGGTTTTATAGGAGATTATTTACTAGACTGTTTCTAGACTTATAGTCATATTTCTCTTTGGTTTTTGTACAGATTAAACAAACAAGACAGAACATGTTAGAGTAAACTTGAAAACATCAATTGTTGAAACTGAGAATAGTCAACTTTGTCCTGGAAATCTTTATACCTTTGGGTATTCATCCTAGGTATGACTGTGGTTTAGCACCACAAACAAAATATTGGGCACATCCTCTCTAAAAACTAACTACTACTGGTGGAGAAATTATTGGTGGGAATGCTGCAAACATTCACAACATATGTTCTTCTTTTTCTATTCCACCATGTTTTTTGCAGCGTAACTCCTTCCAGATGTAGAAACTTCATTTGAACATCAAAATATTCAGCTTAATAAGGACATTTTTGCCATTCTCATTCATACCTTTGATACTTCAAGAAATATTCAACATTTGGGATATTTTTCTAAAATACTACTTATTCTTAATTTCAGCTCAAAACTCCATTCAAACATTGAAATGTTTCACGGCTTTCATATATTCTGCATATTGTTCAACTTTGAATTTCCATTAAAACGTTTCAAAATATTAAACTTCAACAAACATTTTAAACCAGGAGTAAAACACCAGTTACCATTACCATGGCAGCCACTGATTACAGTTTGAGAAACACAGAGCATATTGATTTTAGAACCAGTCATTATGTTTGTTTACAATAGCATGCTTCACATACATGCAGTTTAATGGCATTTATACATCTTATTAATCAAAAATGCATGTTTTATGTTTTTCTATCTCAATAATAATAACACTTTCACTAATATTAAGTTGGAGAACTAAGAACTTAAGAAAATTATAGCTTGAGCTTGCCTAAAATTTGTCCGACTAGTGATGAGATGTCACTGTTGGATAGATTTGGTTTATCAAAGACAAAGCAAAGAACATAACATAATGAGAGCAGACGTGTCAGACAGGTTGGATCACACAATGTTTAACTATACAACTTTAAACGTTACAGTTAAGGCTAAAAATGACAACAGAAATAAACAAATTTGCAGATTACATATATCTCTGCCATTCAAATCAACTTCCAGTCACGGTGATTCGGTTTACAGATAGGCTAATTGGTGAAGTTTGACAGGCATATATACACACACACACACACACACACACACACACACACACACACACACACACACACACACACACACACACACACACAGGTCTTAGACAATTTCATTTTTTCAAGCTTCTACTACTAAAGAAACTTAATTCAAACTTAATAATGTTTGTTCATGAATTATGAGATTCACGCAACTTTTCAGTCCCATTTGTAATAATTAGACTCTGCCCCACTTTCTCAACTAGTCATACCCCTTTGGTTGCTTCTCCAAATTAAAGCCAGTAATTCAATTTAGCTCCCAGCCCTTATACTGGTGAAGCAATGCAGTTACGGTCCAGCTTACACTGTATTTTACAGCCTTCATCCCTTTCCCACTTTTCAAAATATTTAAAATCTTTTCAACTTTTATCCACTCATTCTTACCAGATACTCTATTCAATCCTTATAATGTTCCAAATCTTTCATATATTAAGGTTTGTTAGTATTGTCGTTTTCAGTATGCTGATGTTAACATTTAGTTAAAAGAACATGGGGTAAGACTTTCTTGTCTTGTTTTGCTTTAGGCTTAGACAGGCTAGTTGTTCCCTCTATGTTACCAGTATTTATGCTGAGCTAACTACCTCCTCCTGCCACCATCTTTATAATTAAAGGAGAAATATTACAGTGGTATCAACTTAATTTAGCTCTCAAAAAGACTGTGACTAAGCATTTTTCCCAAAATATCAAACTATTCCTTTTAGTTAATCTTCATGATATGATGACACATAAATGAAACAAAGTCACACATTGTGCAGAATGAATACGGCATTTTTACAGACAATTGCAGCACTGAAGCATTATAAAATGCCCTCCTCTTTCTCTTTACCACTTCTTCCTTATCTTCAGATTTATTTGAACTTCAGCTCCAAGCTTCCTATGACACCCAGAGCCAGGGAGGAGCCCAGTTCTCAGAGTGCAGCTATTCATTGTCTCAACTCAGCCGACAGTAACAGCCCTCCAACCCAGCCCTTACTGGTCCAGCATGAAGTCTTCCTGGAGGGGACAACCCTCAGAGCCCAACGGGTGTAAGGACCCACCCAACCTGTCTGGCTTCCTCATAAAGTGCCTGTTATGTTCCGCCACAAACCACCCAACCACTACACCCGGCCACCGCCCCGGTACATTTGTTGTCACAAAATGGTAATTGTCATCTATTACCAGAAGGATCAGCAAAGGATGAATGACTTTGATAACTGTTATCTCTATTATTGCCTACTGACTACAGGGAGGACAGTTGGACTAATGCTCCCCTGCTCATAGCAAAGAACTGTGCAGTCACTGGGGAGGGTGGAGGGACATCAACTCTAAAACTGTCATTAAGTTCATTATTACACTGTTATCTGTTGTGTTATTTTTCATTTTTTTCAGTTATATTTTTCCTACACATTTCATAAAGATTGTTTTTGGGTTTTTTTAGCACTCCATATATCACTGTTTCCTTTTATCATTGGAGATTTTCTTTTTCTTTTTACATTTTGTGTTTTGTTATTCTTGTTTTTCTGATATTTATGTAGCATTTTTATGTTTGTTGGCTGTTGCAATTGTTGGAGGAAAAAAAAGCACTCGAGGCACTTGAACTTCACATCATTACACACACCACGTAATGTAGCTTTTGTTTCTTTTTTTGTTACTTTTTCATTGTCAGTATTATTTCAAACTGTTCAGATCTGTGTTTATGAAGGAGATATTTTTTGGGGGCCAATTTAAATTGAGATATCGAGACACTGGTATATAAGCTATTAGACAGCATGGTCGGTCATGCTTAGAGTCCATAAGTGCTTCAAGTCAATTAGGAGATACATTTCAGTTCTTTTTCTGTTGGATGTCACTACTAGAGAGCAACTGTCTTTACTGGATCTGTTAACATGGATCAAACAACAATTACTTTACACACACAGTTGTCTTCAGAGATATGGTATAGTCATGGTACGCTAGCTTTTCATTTATGTGCTTGTTAACTGTATATGTGTACATATCTGTAGGTAATGATATTAGTCATTGCTACACAGTGAGATGGGAAACGTCAGAGTAAGACATTTGACCTGTAACTCTTAGCGTTGGTCGTAGCGTTGTTACAGTAGCATGTAATGCAAGTGTATAGTTTCACTTTTTGACAGCTAAACTGCTGGAGAGTTCTCTTTTAACGGTGTAAATAACTGTTCAGGTTTATATCATTGCTCTCCTGCCACACCCAGTGTATGATCTTCGTTTACAAGCATGAGACTGGTACTGCCATTTCCGAGATGTGTTTTCTCTGCTTTTCACCTTCTTCCCCTTTACGAAGGACCAGGAAACGGGAATCTTTCTGTTTTGGCTGACAGGCGGTTGGTGTGTTTTTGCCCATGATACCACTGTAGTTCTCTATTGTACAGTATGTACCATTAATAGAGTCAGGGTGATGCTCATGTGAAATGCCATTAAGTGGACTGCAGTATTCCCTGAGGTGACAAAATGGAGGAAAACGGTGGGTCTTCAAGGCTCTCTGTGCAGATGTGGACACTGGATACAGAGCTCAGTCTCGGTGTGTCATCTCATTGTTCTCAGACCAGTAGCTGATTTCCTAGCAGTCCTTCTCTTCTTTGTATCCAGCTGTTTCCTCCATCAGAAGTGGGACTTTCAGCACCTCTCAGCCAGTAGTCTGTATCAGTCCAGACCATTATGATTCCCCTCTTCCCACTGGTGGATGTTGTTGTGAAAAGCACCAGGAAAGTGTCCTGTTTGTGTGTGTGTGTGTGTGTGTGTGTGTGTGTGTGTGTGTGTGTGTGTGTGTATTGTGTGTTTGTGCGCGCATGCACGTCTGCTTGTCTTTGTGTGCATGTGTGTATGATTGCAGAATTAAAAGAATTACTGTCAAGAGGTGCCACTACTAAAGATTCATCAAGTCGTTTAGGCTACTAAAACCCCACAGTCTTACTGCTCTGTCTTTTTGTAAATATAAATGTGCATATATTGTAAAGTAATGTTTATGCTTTTGAAGATATTTATCTTAATGAAGATGTGGTACATTGATGCAGAATTTTATTATGCTGTATTTTCTTACGTGCGCACAGATTTCTAGATTCGACAGGAAAAGCTGCTTCTGCTCTGTCACCATGGTAACTTAAACGAAAAAACTAATGTTTTAATTTTGGCTAATTCATAATTTCTACCAGATATGCCAGTTCATTTGGTAACTGCCTCAGCAAAACAGGCTGAACTGCTCCTAATGTTCATATAGGATCATCAATATTCATGGCAATATCAATACAAATTATGTTACTGGATTTTACAACCAGGAAGGAGATGTTTCAGAAGAATAGAGATTATTTTTAATTTCATTGCTCCCTTACATCAAAGAGTTTTTCCTGCATTTTACTAAATATTTATTAAATCCGAGGCTTTAGTGTTACTGTGTAAATTTGATGTGTTGCTAATACATGTGTCAATGTAAATAAATTTGTGTATATTGAATTCCCAATGAAACTTTTTTGGTCCCTTTTTACATCCTTGCTCACAAAAACACATCTGTGCTGAGCACACTTTCATCTCAAGCTTTGCTGATTTTAATATCTTGAATTCTGCACGGCAATGCAAGGAAATATTTTCATGGCTGAAATATGTGGTATTATCCTAAGTGCAGTGCCAGCCATCTGTGTGTGTGTGTGTGTGTGTGTGTGTGTGTGTGTGTGTGTGTGTGTGTGTGTGTGTGTGTCAGCTTTGCCACATGCTAATGTAAAGTACAGTAATGGATGCCACACAATCTGATATTTTTTTAGCCATTCTTCCCGCTCTACTCTAAATCATTTGGCTGCAGCCCAGAAAGTGACATCTGGTCGAGAGAGGAAAGCCACTAGGAGGACAGCAGCACTTGGAGCAGACAAGCCCGGTGCACAAATTTGCGTGGGCAGAGTCCATTGTTTCAGGATCTAACTGATAAGAGACAAGCAGGAAATCCCACCATTGAAGTAGAGTGGCCGAATGCAAATTGTTAGTCAGACTTGAGGAAGTTTTCAAGAATTTAAACGATAGAAAGGCTGAGATGAGTCGTACAATAAAACTCTCACAATATAAAATTTTACTTGTCGCATCACACATTTTAATGTGTATTAATCGTTCCAGTGTGTCATCTTGCTTTTAGGATGGCTTTAATAAACAACAATTTTTTTCTCCACAGGAACAGGCATTGAAAGTTGCTCCTTACATCTTCATGCAGCAGATAAGATAATACAATAAGATGCTTTTTAACCCTGATAAACCGATTTCAAAGACCTGTCAACGCTCTTCTTCAAACCAGTTATGATTTATCATCATATTGACTCTTTAAGTTTCTTTCCCTCAGAAAGGCGCCAAATTGGGACAGGATGTGGCTCAAAAAGAGTAATAATAAAGAGACTAATTTCTATTGTGTTAAATCAGAAACGTATAAGTAAAACATGTGCATGTAACCCCTGTTTTTTTTTTTACACAGTTTCTCAACTCGCTGTGGTTCCTTGCTGTGGTAGTAAATTTGATAAGCATGTCACTCTCCTTCCGACACTGTTTGTGGTAAATCTGGCAGTTTAATGTGAAACACCTCCTCTATGTTTCTAAGCTTAAGGTAATAAGGAAACAGAGAGGCTGGTGCACTGTGGTCAGTACAAAGATTACAGGCCATGGAGGACATGGACATAACTTTCTCTGTTTTATGATTGTTTGTTATTTTTAGATTTCCAGAAATTAAAATATTGTGGCAAATACACAGGAACAAAATTGCCTTGCGATTCTGTGAAGTTTCCTAACCACACATTCATTTGGAGATAAGAAACATTTAACAGTATATCTCCAGGGCTTCTATTAAATGACCTTCCTTGACCACATCACAATGTCTTTCCTCAGCATCATGTGATGCTTCATGCCTTACCATGTGATGCTTGAACTCCATCTTATTTTCAGTGAGCTACTATGTTAACAAGATAACATCAAGCCCTCACTTTAAAAAAAAGGGTTTTCGTGATGTATACCAGAACACATTCGCATACCCACTAGCCTTCCACAGCTTTGCTGAGCTGAATACTGGCATTGTCACAGACTGTGTACTACATTGACCACCATACTGTAACTTAAGGTCACTTCTTGAAGATTTTCTTAGCAGGTTATTTATCTCAGGAAAAAATAAAAAAAATATTCCAAAACAACAAACCAACATAAAGTCTCTCAGTTATTTTTTATTGTGCACTTTTAGCAGTTAACCAATGGGCTGGGTGGAAAAGAAATTATGCCACATATGGGTTATTTTTCGGGTCACCACCACTTCCCATATTTGCTCAAGCTGCTCAGGAAACATACACCCCTATGTGCACCCTGACAGAGCTGGGCAGGGGTGCTGCTGTTGCCTGCCAGCCAGAAGCGACGAGATACACAGACCGCAGAGGGAGCAGGCAGAGATGGTTAGGTGAGGATGAGTAGTGGTGTGCGTGCGGGTGTGTGTGTGTGTGTGTGTGTGTGTGTGTGTGTGTGTGTGTGTGCGCGCGCAGAATGTGGCTAGAGGATGTACGTGTGTGTGGGTGGGGGAGTGTTAAGGGGCAACATTTTATCTAAGGTACACTGCACTTCCTCATGTGTTAAGAGTGAACCTTCTGTTCCCATCACTGGGTATCAGGTCAGTAACAGGCTAGATTCAGTCCCAGGCAGGCAGGGCTCAGGACTCCAGCAGATGGCTGACATGACTCTGTTGTAAAAATAAAAACACTGAGCAAACTTGATGGACAAACAACTTTTTTATTCTTGTTTGATTTGTAACATTTTATAGTGTTTTCTCATTATCTTGCTTGGTCAAATAGGTTGTATAAAAGTCTTGGAATTTTAAAGAAAATCTGACTTGATGATGGTGCTACTGAGGGGGACATGAATGTCTACACAAAATTTCATGACAATCAATGCCATATTTGTTGCAACAGTTCACTCAAAACCAAAAATAGGAACCTTACAGTGGGTCGAGTTGAAAAGTCAGGGGGTCACCAAAGTCAGCTGGCTTCATCCCCTGGGCATTGAGACAGCCTGTGCAAAAATCATCATGACAATCCATCAAACATTTGTTGAGATATTTCTGTCAGTGGTGTCAAGACAAACATTGCTATCCATACATGCCCACAGCATTGCTAAAATATATATAAAATACATGAAAATTGATAATGAGGAATGAAAGTTGCATGACCATTGCACATTTACAAGAACGTGGGAGAGCCATGTCATTGTGTTTACCTCTTTTAAAGGTGACAAGCAATGTCAGTATCATTGTGCAGTTGAGGTAATCATTAAACTCACTCGTCAGTGTTCACCTCAGGCTCGATTCCACATTGTTTGTGTCAGCACACAACAGGGCACCATGGCAACCTCGCTTCCTTTTTCAATTGGCCCATAATCTGGATGTGAGTCAATCATTTGAGAAATGGATTAAAAGATAACTTTTTGCAGCTGTCATTCAACTCTGTCATTCAATGTTATGATGCTTGTTTCTGACAGTTCTCACACCCAAGGTGTGTCACAGAATGAGACCTACATTAAGCATTTAGGATACTGACATCCCATTTGAAAGAATTAGGTGTATGTTTAATTTGATTCATTTTGTTCTGTTGTCTAGCTTTAACAATATTATTTTGATTTCAAACTCCTCTTCATATAATGAATCGTTTGGAATAAATCCTCTATGGTTTCAGTATTTTATCAACTTCCTCAACTACACAACACTTTAAACTGTTCAATAGGGTCAGCTCCTTGTGTGAAACATTTTCCCAAGTATTTCTGTGAGCTGGAAAATTCCACTGAGCAAGAGGATATCATCTGTCCGATCAAATATTTAACAGCCGCTGCAAGGTTGACAAAAGCAAGGTATTGAGTTCTTTTTAATCTCCAATTTCTTTGGATCTGGCACATAGATCATGACGTTTACCCAGTTAACTCTGCCAAACATGTCATTCATTCCATTTCAAACTATTGTTCACTCCATTGTAATGTCTAATCTTGACTAGGGAGACATTGTGTATCCTCATGCTCCAATTAAACCTAGTTGATTGCATTGTGCTTGTTCACCAGTGATAAATTTTATACATTTAATTGGTTTCTGTACTGGAAAGTTGGATAGGCTTCCTTATTACAAGAGGGAAGATACATTTTTGATGTTTATCTATAAAGCTCAACTGTCACATCTTCCAGTCTATCTAAGACTGGATTTGTACTGTGCACCTTCAAAATGAAATAAACTGTAAACAACTTATTGTCTTTGCAGATTTGAAAGTTATATTACAAAAGCTTTGTTGTGACACTCAAGCTTTTATTTGATGTCAGTTTTCTTTGTTCTAAGATCTTTCTTTAAATCTAAAAGTATAACTGATTTAATAATGAACAAAATGTTTTTGAGTGTTATAAAACGTGCTTAATATGCAGATACAGTATATTACCATATGTTGCAGTAGCTCAGGAGCACATTGGATTGTGGAATTTCAAGCAAGCTGTTGCTCATAATCCCTCAACCCCTTCACATATGGTGTAAATGAGAGAGGAAATCTAGGAGAGTATGCATGACTAGAGGCAGGAAACCAGTGTGTGCTTCAAACCAAACTTGTGCATCATTTTGTGTTTTCTAGTTTTCTCTTTCTTTTATATATATATATATATATATATATATTTTCTTAACAAGGCTCTAGCAAAGGTACTCAATTGTGTAATATCAACATAAAGGCTTGGACTCTTTTTGAGTTTGATCAAAAGAAGCTACATTTGAACATAACAAGCACGTACAGCCATGCTGGAGGCCTTACTTGGGAACAGTGGTGCTTTGACTTAACTAATCCTGTCTTTTCCCCAGTTTGAAACCCAACTGGTAGCATGTCTTAGTCTTAGTGGATGTTTGCTCACCACCTGAAATTCAACCTCAACAAGACAGGGATACGTCCAGGATCCTCAACCAGGTTCTCGCGCATTTTCTGGTCCAGTCTCTTGTCATCTCTTGCCTAGATTACTGCTACTCATTCCTGGCTGGTATCCCATGCAGCTAGTCTTCAAGTTTTCCCACACTACACTGCTCCTCCACAACCCTGCGCTGGAGATACCATACATTATATAGTTTGTTAAGCTGATGGCTGATGATGGTTCATCCTATCACCTGCCGAGTATTTTTAAAGTGCCTACCTTTTTCCAAATGTTTCGCAACAATGATTTACCAGATAGTTTTGTGTAACAAACCATCAGTGTGACAAACTATCTTGCACAGTCAGGTTACGAAATCACTCCCTCAGTCACTAATGTCCTCCTCCCGATAAAGTAGACACCAGTGTTAGTTTTGTCAACAGATATTTTGACGATAAGCATTTGTTGATGTCCTTTTCCATTAGGCTCTGTTCTAAGTTAGTCATATGACTCCAGAGCCCTCCTCCCTGAGGTGCAAAAGCCTGTGAGAGACCACGCCTGGCCAGCCCTGGAGGCTCTCACCTCAGTGTTACCATACA